AGGTCATGCAAAGTGTGTTACATAAAAATTGATGGAAGATAGATACCGCGGCACAGTGGTTCATTTAATGTTCATAATTAATTTTTCAACCAATTCGATTAATTTTTTTCTACATGAAAACATATAAAATTAGCAAGTGACCCATTGAGCCCGATTTTTTGAATTTTAATTTGTTTATATAAATTTTTTTAGTTTACGCGTTCCAGCCATTCCTATTATAGAAATGCAAGCAGAAGAAGCCCCCCCCCCCAAAACCGAGCCCACGATCCGGCCCTGGTTGGACATTTAATCTGTAAATACTTTAGTAATAAAATATACTGATGCTTTGTATTTTTGTAATTCAGGGTTAATGATTGAACGACGATTTTTGTCCATAAGTATTTTTTTTTTAACTACACAAGTAGTTTCGCTTATGTAGTTTTACAGTCCCTTAAATTTTGGTATAATAAAGTATAAGTATGAAATGGCTCAAAATCGCGTTAATTTTTGGGAACTTTTTTCGTTGAAGGTGTTGCACTTTTTCTCCTACATAAGTATATAAAGCATACTAAAATTTTTTGAACATACAGTTACAATATGTATAGAGGAAATGCAAACAAAAGCTTATAAAAAATATAAAAATCAACGGGAATTCCTAGCCACTTTAAACTTGCACTTTATTATACTACAAATAAAGGGACTATAAACTGCATGTCCGAAAGTTTTCTAAAAATTCTGACAACAAAGTTTTAAATTTTAATGAAAATTTTTTGTAGAAAGTTTGAAACTTTGATTTTTATGGTTTAGGTCGTTGAATTGACTATATTTTTATAAAAAAGCTAATATTACACAAAAGGTTATTGAGTTATCAAAATTTGTCAATATATTGCGCTGCTATTTTCGTGAAAAGTGTTCTACATATATAATATACGTATGTATGTATGTATATACACTTTGCTACGTTTTGTTTTGTAAAGAAATTTTTCCCCAATAATTTTTGTGAAATACTTCTTAATATTCTTCCATTTGCTAAAATAAAGATAGAAATATGGGGTACTACTGTGTAATAAAATACATTTATTAAAATATATAGTATGCATAAAGTAAAGGTTATATAAAAAGGATCTTTCTATTGAGCGTATTCTTCATAAAAGAAAGAATGCATATAAGAAAGGGTTTCTGTGAACTTCTGTGTTTCTAATATGCAATAAGTATTTTAGATATATATTTTTTTTATAAAAGAATTGACCACATTTTTTCGGAAAAATTTGGCACAATTTTAAATTTTAATTTCCATCAATGGCAAGAACTGTGGAAAAACATAAACTATAGATAGCTCTGTATAGCAAGTTAGCTACTCAAGTCTCTAGAAAGGGTGTTCAGAAAAATTTTTCATTATCAAAGAAATTGTCTGCTATTTATTTATCCAAGCAAAATGTGAAACTTTCGCTAACCTCTATGTATATAGGAATACTTTCACTTTATTTTAATATTTTAAAAATTATTTTCTAAAAACCTGTTAAAAAAGATAACCCATTTCATGCGTACAGGTTTAGAGCGAACCATGCAGTAGTTGAAAACAGTGGTTCCCCAAAAAACGAAAAAAATTAGATGTTATAAAAAATGTCTTAACCAATATTATTTTTTTGTTTTTAGTTTTTAGAAAAATTAGTATGCAGTAGTAACGGGTGATTTTTTAAGAGCTTGATAACTTTTTTTTAAAAAAAAACGCATAAAATTTGCAAAATCTCATCGGTTCTTTATTTGAAACGTTAGATTGGTCCATGACATTTACTTTTTGAAGATAATTTCATTTAAATGTTGACCGCGGCTGCGTCTTAGGTGGTCCATTCGGAAAGTCCAATTTTGGGCAACTTTTTCGAGCATTTCGGCCGGAATAGCCCGAATTTCTTCGGAAATGTTGTCTTCCAAAGCTGGAATAGTTGCTGGCTTATTTCTGTAGACTTTAGACTTGACGTAGCCCCACAAAAAATAGTCTAAAGGCGTCAAATCGCATGATCTTGGTGGCCAACTTACCGGTCCATTTCTTGAGATGAATTGTTCTCCGAAGTTTTCCCTCAAAATGGCCATAGAATCGCGAGCTGTGTGGCATGTAGCGCCATCTTGTTGAAACCACATGTCAACCAAGTTCAGTTCTTCCATTTTTGGCAACAAAAAGTTTGTTAGCATCGAACGATAGCGATCGCCATTCACCGTAACGTTGCGTCCAACAGCATCTTTGAAAAAATACGGTCCAATGATTCCACCAGCGTACAAACCACACCAAACAGTGCATTTTTCGGGATGCATGGGCAGTTCTTGAACGGCTTCTGGTTGCTCTTCACTCCAAATGCGGCAATTTTGCTTATTTACGAAGCCATTCAACCAGAAATGAGCCTCATCGCTGAACAAAATTTGTCGATAAAAAAGCGGATTTTCTGCCAACTTTTCTAGGGCCCATTCACTGAAAATTCGACTCGTTGCTCGTTAGTAAGTCTATTCATGATGAAATTTCAAAGCATACTGAGCATCTTTCTCTTTGACACCATGTCTGAAATCCCACGTGATCTGTCAAATACTAATGCATGAAAATCCTAACCTCAAAAAAATCACCCGTTAGTATGGATTAAACTGCGTGAAAAATTTCCAAAAAACAACGCGATTTTTTTGCAACATCAAACTTGCACTTTGTTATACTAAAATTTTATGGGCTATAAAAATGCATACATACAGTTTTTCTAGAAAATCTGATAAGAAAGTTGTCAATTACTATGCAAATTTAATGAATTTTCATGAGCTTTGCGCAAAGTGAACAGATTTAGTTTTTAGGTTTTTCGTTGTATTATGAATACGGTTTTCAGATTTCTGTGGCCAAAAAGCGGACCTTTCTAAAGCACCGAATCCGAACATACAATGTTGTTTTTCGAATAAAAAGACATAATGTCTTTTAATACAACTTTATTTAAAACAAAACAAATAGAATACAACTTGAAAAATGATATGGAAAACACATTTTGAGAAGTTTTGGCTACTCTCGCTTGTTTAATTATATTTATAATTATTTTTTATGATAGTATAACTTAGTAGTTTAAAAAAAAATATGTACCTAAATCAAAATTTTAAACTTTGTAGAACATTAGTAGATTTCTAGAATTGTTCAAAACAGTGCAGTTGCAGTTTTGTAGCCCATTAAATTTTAGTAGATCAAAGTGCAAGTTTGAAGTTCCTTGGACTTACCGCCGATTTTTGGAAATTTTTTGTTCGCACATTTTCCTCCATCCAAATTAATTCCAAACATTTTTTGAATGGAGAAAATGAACAACACCTTCCACAAAAAAAATTCACTAAAAATCAACGGTATATCCTAGCTACTTAAAAGTTGCACTTTGAATTGAATGGGCTACAAAACTGCAAGCTCAGAATGTTTATAAAAAATCTAATTAAAAAGCTCAAAATTTTTATGAACTTTTGTCGAATTTTGCTAATTTTTGAATAAAGATTAAAATTTTGACTTACATGGTCTTTGTTAGATAACGAATGAAAGTGTTCTTAAAAAATTAAACACATCACATAATCTAAAGGGGAATTACCAAAGAATACTAAAATGTCTCTTCTCTATTTATATTTCGCCACTGTATTAGGGATGTCAGTGGCAAAAAAACATCGATGTTTTTCTTTGATTGAAGTGTACATCATCATACATCGATGCATCGATTTGCATAGGATTTTTCAGATAATGTTTCACAACAAAATAGGGATTTTCTCGAAATCTTGCACGTTGCACGGATTGTACGAAATGCAAAAATACTATTCCAAATTTCGAAGAGTACGACAGCACCCCATTGCAAAGTGGTAGCATGTATGGGTATCAAGCAGCGAAATTATGTATCAATTACAATAGCAGGAGACAGCAAAAAAAAAAATGAAGTGAGCGAGATGAGAGGAATGAAAGAAATATGTAGCAATTCCTACAACAAAACAACTAGCAACTAAAAATATCCTGGCCAGGATTTTTTCAGCCCACCCAATCGTGAAATATTTCCTAACACGTTAAATTTCATACAACGTAGATTTCACCCATTAAATAAATGGGTGCAGGTCGGATCTCTTGCTATTAGAATAATATACTTTTTTCCTAGCATCAAGGAATGTTTTTTTCTAAGTGTAGCCACTATGCCCGTCATTCCATTGCTTTCGGCCCTCAACCATATGTTGAGTGGATGGTATGGCTCCATATATACTTTGGACAGCCCCTTTGCCGGTGTCCTTGCGGGTTCCACAGAAAAGCCATTTCGGCGATGTTGGCGTTCCAGTTGCCGTTGATAACCTCAGTGCCTGTCAGTTTCCAGAGATCTGTATTAAAAATTGATTTTTGCCAAAAGATAAAGCATACTTTCCGAAAACATGCAGAAAAAGACTAACCACATCTCCGAGCCATATAAGAGGATGGGTTTAAAACTGAACAAAGATTTCAGTGACAAGACTTCAAAAGCAAAACTTCAAATTCAAAAACTTGTCAAAACGGTATGGATAAGGTATCGAAGTCGCGAAATATCTTCAAGCTAAATGTCTCGCTATCGTTCAATAACATACAAGATGGGCCCCAACGAGTTAATACTAGAAACATATTTCTGCCATGACTAACATAATCAAGACACCATCATATTCCTATAAACCAGGTGGACATCTGATAGCCATCTTTAATGTCTAATGGTTTACCCTACGGAATGTTTATAATTTTCTTATTAATTAAACGCTTCGTTGACAGTCTGTGATAAATGGCTTCGAGATTTATTTGGGTGTGAAATAGAACAGCAAATGCTTCCGTTTGGCATCAATTAAAACATGTTAAAGCTGTCAATATTTATCGCTAAAACGTACATTTCTTAATTACAAGAAAATTGTGTACGCAATTTTTAGTATAAATACATGATGAGCCTAATTGGTCTGAGGTAGTGCGGGAAATACGTTCGACAGCACAACATAATTCTATTAATTGTAGAAAGACAAAAATAAGAGACATGTTTCGTAAGTAAAGCGTGAAACTGCAGGATAAATATACATATATAAGTATCGGAAATAGTGATTAGCAGCAATCCAATCACACACTAAGTATCAGCTCAATAGGTCATTCGAAATCCACTTGGTAGTGTTGATCCAGTATTTCGTGGCTAAAGAAACATCCACTCACAATGGCGATCGACGGGAGATATAAAAAATCAATAATTTAACTTTGACTTTAGTTCCTCATTCATATAAAAACAAAATCAAAGTGGTGCATAAATACAATTAATTACGTTTCTTTTTCTCTCTGTAGCTGGCGCTAGCAGCATTTGTGCCTTGGTACTGGTTTTGATGTGCAGCAGTGCTGCTACTGCCCTCAACATGACCAACATCTGCTTGTTATTGAAAAATAATGCTCGCATAGCCAGCGCAGATTCTTGCTCAAATTATTACACATGCTCCAACGGTGCTGCTACATCTCAAAGTTGTTCTTCTGGCACCTATTTCGACAAGAACTCACAGGCTTGTGTCAGCACGGCTCCAAGCTATTGCTCATCAAATAGTACTACTACAAACCCATGCGCTGGACACGCTACTGGCTCTTTTGCGGCAGTATCAGGTTCCTGTACCAACTACTATTACTGCGGGACCAACGGTGCGGAAGAAGGCACATGTCCTAACAATCTCGTGTTCAACCCGACGACCCAATCGTGCGACTATTCAAGCAACTATCCCTGTCAGAGTTCTAACACTAGTTCAAGCGATGCCAACGCCGTTATCAACTTGTGTTTGTATATCCAAAAGGGAATCTACTTTGGCAATGCTTTCAGCTGCGCTGGCTGGCAGAAGTGCTATAACGAGAGCAGCTTTACTACCGGATCCTGCAGTAACGATTTGGTCTTCGATACGGCGAACGCGATATGTAACTATCCAGCGAACGTTGACTGTTCCCAGGTATATTTGCTTTGTGTCAGGAAACTTCAAGTTGACATCTAGCTAACAAAATGCGAATCTTTAATTGCAGGTAACCAATGACCCCAATTTGGATGTCAATGCAGCTAGTGACGGTGGCACATGTACAACAAGTGTAAGTAATTCATTTCGATATGTTTCGCTCTCAAATTGTTGGGAATCGCAATACTCACATTGTATTAAATTCGCTTTTTGTAGGGGGAACTCAAAAATGCCACTGCATGCAATCAATATTATATATGTAATAATGCTAAATGGCAGCTGATAACATGCAGTACCGGCAAGTACTACGACACGGTATCAAAGACTTGCGTGAACAGAAATGTTGCTTACAATGACTGTGATCGTTGCTTGGGTACCAATCTCCAATTTGTAAACGCATTTGGTACTAATTGCACTGGCTACTTGTATTGCGTAGAAGGCGTTGAAAAGAGTAGTGGCACCTGCCCGACCGGAGACTACTTCAACGAAGATATGGGTGGTTGTGTGAGCGAAAATCCGAATTACGTATTCTGTACGAGTGAATCCTCGTCGTCTGCGACTACAACGAGTGGTAGCACTGATGATACCACAGCATCTGGTGAGACGACTGCTAGCGCAGCAACCACAGAAGCAACCACTGAGGCAGCTAAATAAAATAATTTCAAGTCCTTGCAAGAAGAGTGTATACATTTGTACATATGTACTCATTTGTAATTTAACTTTCAGAGGAGTTTCAATATACATACATGCAAATAACTTTTTGATGCAAATAATAAAAATAAATCGAGTTTATTACGTATGGTTTGTACTTTGTAGAGAAGTTTATGCGAAAACAGACAAACTTTAGTTTCAAACTGATGTCGCCTCACGGCAAGAGCTCGGCCTCGACCTATCTTGAAGTCTCAACAAAGATTGCGGTAGTTATCAAACATTATCGAATTTATTTTTAATAGCTAAAAAAATTTATTATTTTAGTTTTTTGCCCCATATGGCCTCAAAATCTCGGAGTCGGTTACTACACTATCCTGTCCGTTAAAATTGAACTTGACAGGAAGTTGGTGCCGTGTGGAGTATTCCAGAAGTAGGTATGTACCAGGGATATTGCGAAACATTGCATCAAATGATACGAATGTTTTTCGAATGAGAAAGTATACATGGGCCGAGAGTCCACTCTAATATTGTTGAAATGGCTCTAAAGCTGTCTAGCCATGGTGCGGATAATAACCTGCTTTTAGCTTCACGCGCTAAACGGTTAAGTAGTATATGAAGCAACATTGATGGGCCTTCAACAAGTACTGCTAAAATTCTCATAAGCAACCTAGAAAAAATTTTAGACTCCTCCTGCGAAATCGAAGGCTCGGATGTAGAATCAGGAGACATTAAAAAATGTGAAATTAAAGCTTAAGGCCTATCTTAAAGAAAAATGAGCTCAACTCGGTGAAAATCCTCACGATTGTTGGAAAACTAAACTAAAATACAACAAATTGAGAGATCTGGCCCGCAAATATTTGAGCGCCCCACCCGCCAGCGTTCCAAGTGAGCAATTGTTCAGTGCAGCCGGCCTTATATACGAGCCTCTAAGAAATCGCCTCATGGGAGAAAGGCAGCAAAATTACCTTTTTTATTAAATATAATATGCCCCTTTTTAACTTTGACTACTAGATTTAAACACTGTATAGGTTCGGAACTCGTTCAATGTTCTAATAATTTACAAAATTTTTAAGTAATAAAAACGATGACTTAAATTGATTGATTATAGCTTTTTCGCATTCGCATTCACATTCGCGAATGTAAAAAATATGACATTCGAAACATCCCTAGTATGTACATACTTTATAGCCTGGTCCTGACTTCACCTCAGCTGTATGTTGACCAAGTCTTTTGCTAATTTTTTACTTCTACCCACATTTGATTGTTGGAGTTGATTTTGCTTATCCTAATCGGCTATTTTGCTTATTCTAAATAACCGCCGAGCAAGCGGAAAAACTTACAATGTCAAAGGAATAGCAAGCATATTATTTATCCGCAACCGGATAAATGATTAATCTTATCTTCTTCTTCTATATATATAAAAAAAAAAATGTCTTTCGTATGACGGCGATGCCTGACCAAACGGCTGAACCGATTTCAATTCTGTGAAAAGTCCTTTTTTGGACCTTCTGTGTGGAAGGTTTTTCGATTAAAAAAAATTCAAAACTTTTTGTTATTGTTGCCAAAAAATTAAGAAAGCTGAGACGTCACGATCTCACAATTTCATAGAGTTTTCCGTATATTGTATGTCACTAAACTACCAAACGGCGGGACCTATTTCGTTCATATTTGGAACATACATATGTCAGCACCTTTAAGAGAAATATACCGGCTAAAAATTAAATCGCTAGGTGGCGATGGGGTCGGGACGCTCCTAAAAACTGCATTTAATTGCAGATTTGGCTCATATTTAAAACATTGTTAGCCAGATGCAAGGAATATTTGGACTAAAAAATTACACGATAGGAGGCACTCAGGTCGGGATATTCCTAACGTTCTTATACAGTGGGAGAAATACATATTCAATCGTCACAATAAAATTTTGAAGCCTCTTTTTTGAGAGCAACAATATATCTCTTAAGCAAACTACGCTGGGGAACTGAAACTTGGCAGGGATGCATTAATTGTAAATACCCTACTTATGGCGAAAGGTGGCAGATATTGGTAAAGGGAGCGTGGCACCTCCCATACAACCTTATTTTCTCATATCGTCTATCTCTGGAACCGCATTATGCTAACGTCCTAAATTTGAAACAGGCACAAATGTTATCAATATCGTACCTTCAAAGAAAAGTGGCAGGTATTGGAAAATGGGGCGTGGCACCTCTCATACAAACTGAAATTCTCATATCGCTTATCGCTGGAACCGCTTAAGCCAACGTTCTTAAATTTGGCACAGCTATGTATATATCGTCGGCCGCTATGGTGTAGTGGTAAGCAGTGCGCACTTCCACTCCGCAACGCCTGGGTCTTTCTTAACAGCGGTCGTCCCTCGGCAGGCAGTGGCAAACCTCCGAATGTATTTCTGCTCATAAAAATACAATCGCCATTCGGAGTCGGCGTAAAACTGTAGGTCCCTCCGCTTTGTGTGACAACATCAAGGCGTTCGCCACAAATCGGAGGAGAAGCTCGGCCAAACACTAAAATGTGTGTAAGCGCCAATTTATTATTATAGATTTTTTCGACCAAAGTATCGCTTATACATATGCATATCATCGTTTAAAATACAAAACCGCGTAACTGACATTTGCTGCCAACAATTGGATTTGTCACACAAGCTCTTGGCTTAATCTTTATCCATTCGTCCTGAAATATACTAGCCAGAAATGCGTTTGCTTTATAAAAAAGCGAACCATTTTAAAATATAAGTGTTTTTACTCTCTAGAAAATAATTTATGTAACCTCACATACGCGGTTTTGCATTTTGTTCATACGCGGTTTTATACTTTTAACGACGATATGTTATTCATACTGTGCTAACGACGCAAAGTGGAAGGTATTGGAAAAGGGACGTGGCACCTCCCATACAAACTGAATTTCTCAAATCGCGTATTTTGCAGATCCAATGGATAGCGCTGCTGCCGAAATATGTATATATGTAGAAACCCCATGTGTTTACTTTTCAGATGGCTAAATGAAATTGTGTAAGCGCACCTTTGTCTGACGCCCTCATACACCCTTAATGCGATCTTGCATTTACCTCCGATTTAGGAAATTGCTCGGGGCGGCTGTTATTGCAGCAGTAAGACTAAAAGAAACCAGTTCATAAATATTAAGACGAATTTTAAAAGTGACGAATCGGCAAGGAAAGATTCGACCACATCCGTCCATGAAGGAGCACGGTAGGTATATCAATGGCTCCATTTCAACGACATTCAAGAGATCACACGACTCATTTAGCCAATGAACGGGAAAACTTTTCATCCTGTGGGGTAGCGAGGATTCTTGACCCTCCTGTAACGGAAAATGCTCATCTGTGCTCTTGAGTTTCCTTATAAGCACTTTTATTGGCTTACGCACCGGACCAATGTTGTAGTTGCAAGATCAGAGAAGATTTTGCGCGCTTGGCAGTAATTTCACAGTTAGAAATAAGAACATCGGTAAAGCTCATGACATCGAAATCGATTAGTATTGTCGTAAGCGCCATTTTGACGATTTTTAGTTCTAGATGCCGTTATATATTTTGAAATAACGTCTTTCGATTGGTGTTATCAGTTTTTAGATATCTCCTTTAGTTTCCGAGATATTGACTAATTCGATAATGTAGTAAACATTTAGTTAGTGATGCAGTCATATTAAACTAATCAATATCTTAAAAATGTCGTTCTCCATTTTTTGATATCTCCTTTAGTTTCCGAGATATTGAGTAAAAAGTGTCGTTAATTTAGTAGAAATTTTGATCACATTTTGTCGTATTTCATACAAAGTGGCAGCCAAAGTGTGGACAAATGACGCTTACGACAAAATTTTGCTAAAGAAAATCCTTCATAAACTCAAAACTATTTAACAATAAACATTAAACATTAAATAATTTAAGAGTTTTGTGAACTAGTAACATTTTCAGAGACTTTGGAGAAAATCTATCTTCGCGTTTTTGAGAAATTGTATTCCAAACTTCAATCGCGATTTCCCAGAACCTACCGAATTTAACATCTTTTGCCCAGGCGACGATATATAAATAGGCAAACATGTTTTCCTTACCATTTTGCAACTAAACCATACTTCTAAGGTATGAAGAATTATTTTATCATTAGAAAGGTATTTTGAAGCTGAAGTGCGGAAAATTACTCAAATTTCAAATAAGTTTAATACAAATCGAAAAAATCAATTCAAAATCGACACTTATACAAATGCCATAATGTACAAGAGGGGGAAAAGGCTCCTAAATGTATGCTTTAATATTAATAAAGAATTAAATAAACGAGCTAAGCAGCAGTTTAGGAATAATATTTATGTACAGTTGATTGAAATTCGTACAAGAAGGTAAACGCATAGACAGACGGCAACGTGGATGTTGATTTCAACTCCCCGCATTTCACCTCAAGTAACCTCATATCAACTCCTCTCAGTTCACCTCAACTCATCTCACCCCAACTCACCTAATTCCATATGAACTGAATTCACCTCACCTCTTTCAACTCACCCCAACTTAACTCACCTTAACTTATCTAAGCTCACCTCACCTGAACCCACTTCACTACAATTCACTTCTCATTAATTCAACTCACTTCAAATAAGTTTAGTGGTAGAATTTCAGCCGCTGGGCGAACACAAGTATGTATTCATAAAAGAACGATATTATCGATTGCTATGACTAAATCGACGACAATAACAATGTGCTTTTTGAACACTGGTATACAAAGATCAAAGATCGATTAATCGAGCCCATTCGATTCGATTTTTTTAGCTCCTACTCGACCCGTGAATCGATCAAAAAAATTCGATTTTATTTTTTTTTTTTTCAATTGATGCATATTGATCTACGGTTTTCTCTAGAAAATCTGAGAAATTTTAAAGAAATTTAAATTTTTGAATTTGAGGCTGGTACAAAAAATGAAGGAACTTTGGCTCCTCCCACGGAGTCCTCTTGAAAATAACTATATGAAATTTTAAGTAATACTACAACAAAAACTCCTAATATTGGAATTCCCAACTTTGTGCAAATTTCTATTAAAAATTTTCACTTTTAACTACCCATTTTACAAAAAAATTTTCGTATGTAATTTTGTAGCTCATTGAATTTGAGTGCAATAAAATGCTATTTTGAAGTAAAACATAAAATTTTTCCTTTTTTGTATTAAAAAAAGACTACAAAATTTCGAAGAAATGTAACCTTGCAAAAATACCTTAAACTCAGGGGTGTACCGCGATTTTTTTTCCGGTCCGGTCTTACAATGTATGTACAACAGAAATGTTTTATACTAATTTTAACTCTCTTGACGGCCGCTGGGGCTGAGTGGGTTAGAGCTGTGTACTACCAGTCCGTAGGACGTGGGTTCGATCCATACGCCCGGATATCATAAAATCCATTTGCTGTTTCGAGACGATGTAAAACTCTAAGTCCCTCCATTTGTGTAACAACATCAAAACGCACAACACAAATTGAATGGGAAACTCGTCCATATACTTAGCAACAGTGTAAACGCCAAAATATTATTATACGTATAGTGACTCAAACAAGTGGTCACGTGTTGATTTTTTATCTTAATATGCATAATATTTTCGAGTAACATTTTTTTTGTTATTTTTCTATAAAAATTACAATTTTATAAGCTTTAAACAAAAGCATAAAAATCGCAGTTTCAAAATTTATAAAAATTTAAGAAAGTTCAACGTGTTTCCATAAAAATTTCAACTTTTAAATCTGCACCTTTAGAACATTTCTAGGTATGCAGTTTTATAGCACATACAATTTCACGGCTGAAAAATTATTTTTGAGAATTTTTTTTGGTGACCGATTTTTGCGGATCAAAAAGTTTAAATTTTGGAATTTTTCTGAATTTTGTATGAAGTTGGGAAGCGTGATGTATATGGTTACGGATAAAGTCTCTACGGTATTTTTATAGAAAAATAACAAAAAAAAAATATTACAAAAAAATCAACACATGGTCATTTCATTGAGTCACTGTATTTAGATTACAAAAACTGACCGATAATGGAAATTATAAATAAATCTTTCCACGAATTAAATTTAATTAATAGTAAATACAATTTTTTTTATCAATTCCACGAGTTTCTTCGACCAGATAAAGTGAAGGCAATTGATCTACATACCCTATATAATTGCACAGCGACAAACTTAGTGATGTCTTATCGTTTTGGCAACCCCGAAGCAAATTACCTAGTTACTTTGGTAAACAGACAACAGAAATTTAATTGGACAATTTAAATCTTTCAATTAAAATAATCGCGGTCGCAGCATGGTAAGAGTACATAAAATCGCCGACACTATAAAAGCGGCTTGACATATTCAATACTAGGCAGTTAGTCCAAATACGTAAATAAATTCAAATCTTAGCCGTTTAAAATCTGCGCGGAAATGTTAGGTGAGTAGTTCTAATCTGTCATTGCGAACCAGGGGATATAAGAAAATCCTAAATAAACAAATTTACTCGCTCTGCCGAAATCATCCAATTTCACAAAGGACAAGGATCATAGAACATGAAACTGCGGCGAAGCTAGCCAATTCATGTACCTGCCAAATAGGGATTCCAGCTGAAGTCTTAATGGAATATAAGACAAGTATGAGAGCGTGGATCCCTCTTTGTATTCTATGCTCTTTGTAAAGTACTTAATCATATTTATCGCATTTTGGTCGTACCCCTCCTCGAAATACACTAACAAAGTATTTTATATTTGTATTTCATTTCTAAAATTCACACTTACGCATGCGGCAGTAGCCAAACAATTCATATTTGGGACCCTTCTTCTGGTGCTAGTAAACGTAATTTCCGCGGAATACGATGTGGATGGCGTATGCACATTGGTCTCAGATGGCGTTCGCATTGGCAGCATCGAATCTTGTCTAAAATACTACATCTGCAACAACGGCAAGGCTACAGCTTATACCTGTCCTTCCGGCACAAAATTTAGCAAAAACTCGCAAGCTTGTCTAACCGCAGCCAACGTCAATTGCTATTTTGGTGAAACAACTCCCTGCACTGGCAAAACTGGGGTGTTCGTGCCCAAAACTGGCTCTTGCAATGGCTGGATCTACTGTAAAAATGGTCAAGAAATCAGCAGCGGCACCTGTAGCAACAACTTAATTTTCCGCGATGGCGAGTGTATATATGGCGACTGTGCCAAATCTGTGAACACACTGGATGCAAGTTTTACCTCCATCTGTCAGGTACTGCCGAACAACAAATACTTTGGAAGCACAACGGACTGCACCAAATGGCAAATTTGCAGGAATGAGAAGTTGAGCGTAGGTGTTTGCAAAGGTGATTTGGTAAGTACATATTGTTTTGAAGCACGATTCAACCAGCTTCTTTTACAAATCAATTAGGGTGAATTCACATCTATACATTTTAGCACATTTTATTCCTATCCCTTAGGTGTACGAAGTTCCATCTGCTACTTGCTCCTACAAAACTGCAAGCACCTGTTCGCACGTCACTGGTATCAAGGTGCAACCGGATGTGGAAGTCTTTGGCAGTTGCACTGAGAATGGCGCACTTAAGTCTACCGGCATTTGCAGCGACTACTTAAAATGTACAAACGGTCAATGGACGCGCCAGTCTTGTACAAACAACTTTTTCTTTGACACTGTGAAGCAAACTTGTGTGACCCGTAAAGCTGCTGTGACAACAGATTGCGATCGTTGTCAATTCACGAAAAATACATTCGTTAACGCTGTTGATGTGGAATGTCGCAAATATTTGATTTGTTCAAACGGCGTCCAAAAGAGTTCCAATTCCTGCGGTTCAGCCTACTACTTTGATGAGAGCTCTCAAGCTTGCATGAAAATCAGTGGAACTGTTGATCTCGCGGCAGTTAGTGGGGCGTGCTATACAGCTCCTACAAGTGGAGCAGGTGATTCTGATAACAGTGGCGACACCAGTGGCAGTAACAGCAGTGATGGCACCAGCGGAGATACCAGTGACAGTGGTAGCAGTGATGCTGCCAGCGGAGACGCCAGCGACAGTGGTAGCAGTGATGCCGCCAGCGAGGACTTTACTGGTTTCGGTGGACCCCCTGATGCCGTTTCTACCATATTCCCAAAGTTCATCAAAAAATGTGAAGATTCGATCTAACAGTGAAAATTCGCATCATGGGTGAATTCGGAGTAGCAAAAATAAAAATAAAATATTTTCTTGCGTTCTATTTAATAAAATAACGTGACTACACACTTGCAAGTTTTAAAAAACAGAGCTCGTAAAGTCATCAAAGTTTTATCTCGCCCTGAGGAGTTATATTTTTAAGAGCACTCCATAATCTCCTCACATGTTCGGCTCGCTCCTGAATTTGCATGTGACGTATTTGTAAAATAGTTTATTTGTGTTGATGACATCATTTATTTTTATTGCTCCGAGTTTTAAAGTGATGCGAAAAATATTCATCACTCACATAACTTGAAACAATTAAACCAAAAAACTTTTTACCCCAAACTTTAAATTCATGGTGGCTTCGATGGTCGAAGTGGGGGATGCTATAACTGGTTGCGGATCGAGGAATGTCCAGGTACTCCCTAGTGACCTGGCACCCCAAGCAAATCGAGCTGGTTATGTTTGCCAACATAATTTAGTCGAGACTTGCATTGTCGAACTAGTGTGGTAGTACTTAGATAGAGGGCTGGCAAATGCCTTAAGTGCAGCTTAGCTGTCACCGCAGACACGTAAACTCCTTCCCGTCCACTTTTTTCCACCACGTAGTATATAGCTTTGAGGATTGCAAATGCTTCAGCTTTATCCCCATTAACTTCGAAAAAGATCCCAGATCCTTGCCCAGAGTCAGTGTGTAAGTTCGGGCTCCGTGCTGGAATTAAACCAGCATTCCCCCTCAGGGAACTCTGAATTATAGACACAAGTGGTCAAATCTCCGCCGCCAGCAATTTCTGCCTCGCCTCACTCAGTGTCATAACAACATCCGTTTCTTTTTAGTCTGCAGGTGCAGCAGTGCGTCAAGAGCACTATATACCACTCAAAAAAATTAAAATTAAATAAAGATACTATCAAGCAACCATTTTGGATCTTTACTATCGAAACCAGAAATATTTTCCTGGACTCCCACTTACAACTCGCGGATCCCCATATTTTTTTAACGCCACCTGGACCACTTTGGGAATCACTGGTATAAACTAACCTCCACTGTAATATATAAACTAACTGATTCCAAATTATTAACAAGCCTCAAGCCAGTTACTATTTAGTAAAACTGAAATTACTTTGTAAATGAATTAATTTTGAATAATGATATTAATAAAAAAATATATATATGTAATCGATAAATTAGCACCACATCAAGAGAAGGCTTTTCTTCAAAGAAGTTTAGCTCCCTTAGATAGATATTAAAAACTTCTACATAAACTTCTACACTCTTAATATCCTCACACATTGGTTAGAAAATCCTAACTCACCCTCGATAGACTCCGCTTTGATGGCGGGTCAGCGCAAAAGCAAATTGATCGAAAAAAATCTTTTTAATGGCAGTCGCCCTTGACAGGCAATTCCTTCAAGTGTAAAAAAACAACTAAGAGCAGCGCTGTCTTCGGCTATGCCGAAGGCTTCATACCTTTCATGAACATCTGAAAACTTTACTTTAACAGATTACTGCATTTGAAAAAATGTATATGTATATTCACAGCATACATAGATAGAGGAGTTACATATATAAAAAATCGTATCTAAACAATCAGAGATATGTAAGATATACCTTATATAGCACCAATCAAAGTGATTTTCGCCGCTATGTGATTGGTATGTAAACCGGTAACACAATTTAATTGGTTTAGCTTCCTACATAAAGGAGAAATATCGCAAAAACTGGTATCTGAAAAATCAGTGCTATAGGAGATAAAGCTTATACAGCATAGATTTTGACGATTCGCTCAGTAGACTTTGTACTATTATTTATAAAATATCTTACGAAATTTATCGGTTTTAGCTGTTCAAATAAAGGAGTTGTACAGTAAAATCCCATATCTGAACAATCAGTTATATGGAGGCAATGTATAAGTTACAGTGACCCGATCTTTGTTAATTTTACTGTAAACTATCTGTTGATAATGAGTGAAAATAGTGCGAAATATCATGTTTCTAGCTGTATATATTTAGAAATTATAACAAAGAATCTCATATCTGAACAATCAGTTGTATCGGAGCTATATGTAAAAGTGACCCGATCTTTTTTATTTTCACTGTAAGAATTCTGTTGATAATCGTTGGAAGTATTGCAAAATTTCATGTTCCTAGCTGCATAAATCGAGGAGTCATAACGAAAATTCTTATAACTGAACAATCAGTTGAATGGGAGATATATGTTATAGTGACCCGATCTTTGTTATTTTCACTGTAAATATTATGTTAATAATGAGTGAAAACGGTGAGAATTTTCATGTTCCTAGCTGCATAAATGGATAAGTTATGGCAAAAAATCTCATATCTGAACAATCAGCTGTATGGAGGCTATAGGTTATAGCGACCCGATCTTAGCCATTTTCTCTGAAAGTATTATTTTGATAATGAGTGACAACAGTTCAAAGTTCCATGTTACTAGCTACTTAAATGAAGGAGTTATAACGAAAAATCTTATATCTGAACAATCAGTAGTACGGGAGCTATAGGTTATAGTGACCCGATCTTTGCAATTTTCACTCTAAGTTCTCTGTTGATAATGGGTGGAAGTATTGCAAAATTTCATGTTCTTAGCTGCATAAATGGAGAAGTTATAACGAAAAACCTCATATCTGAACAATCAGTTGTATGGGAGCTATATGTTATAGTGGTCCGATTCTTCCGGTTCCGACAAATGATTAATACATTATATAAATACATCCACCTACCAAATTTCATCCGGATATCACGAAAACTGAGAGACTAGATTGCATACAAACAGACGGACAGACGGACAGACGGACATGGCTAAATCGACTCAGCTCGATGTTCTGATCATTTAAGTATACATTTTAATGGGTCTATCTCTTCTTATTCTGGTACTTACAAACATCGGACCAAAGTTATAATACCATTTCATGCTCATGAAAGGTATAAAAACAAAAAAATATTGCCATTCGGAAGCGGCGTAAAACTGTAGCTCCTCTATTTCTACGGGGAGAGAACGTAGAATAAATCGAATTTGGAAAATTAGGCTAAGCAACTAACTACCGGCGGTGGTGCATTCCGCACTTATTAATTCAGATAGGAATTGAAATTTAAATTGAATAAGAACTTATTTAAATAAACAGCAAATGGTTGTAATGAGTAGTTTTTTTTTCAAGTCAGAAGTACACTTGGAGGTCTTCCATTGCTTGCCGAGGGGCGGCCGCTGTCAGAAAAGCTTGTTTTGGATGTTGTCCGAACCACGGATCCATGGTGGCCATATAGAATACTTACACCGTTCCTATAATTCCTCGATTAATCAAACCGGAAGAGTTTTTCATATTTCCCTTCGAAAATATGGTGTATTTCGAATAGACAACGAACTTGGATTACAGCGGATAACGTAAGTTCCGTTTTGTTGGAGAATGGCCTTGTTCTCGGAGGCATTTCTAACATTTATTGCACCGTGCGAGAGTCAAATTTACACACAAAAATATCAATATATTCGCGAAACAAGGGGCCAAAAATAGTAAAACTGCACCTTTGGTTTTTCTCTCTGACGTCAGAATTTTTTTTTACGACTTTTAAATTACACAGATACGATCAATTCAAAAAATGGCTGACTTCTAAAATGTCAATTGCTATGCCGCGAACTAAGCGGGCATTGGCTAGTAATAATATATAATAGATTGGCGCTTACATATATGTAAGTGTTTGGCCGAGCTTCTCCCCCGATTTGTGGCGTGCGCCTTGATGTTGTTACACAAAGGGCAGGGACCTACAGTTTAACGCTGACTCCGTTTTTCGTGGAAGAAATATACTCGGAGATTTGCCATTACCTTGCGAGGGGCGATCGATATCAGAAAAAAAAACTTTTTTATTTCTTATTTTTTATGTTGGGTTGAACCGGGCTTGAGGCCCTGTGGAATGGCAGGCGCGCACTGTTAACCACTAAAACATAGCGGCGACAACCGCATAGCTCCCGCATTAATTTTTACATTCGCATTTGCAGTAGTCAATGCGGAACAGCCGAAAGCCTAGATTACGATCCCTTTTAAATTTATTAATCTCCCGCAAAGAATAGTGCCTAAAAACACAAATTGGCTTTTGAAAGTAGAAATATTAATAAAAAGGTGTTAAAAAGCAAGGCGAATTCATATAAAGTGATGATATTAGAAAAGCTGATTTGATTTTTTTATTCGTCTAACGACTTGGAATGTCAAAATTGAAATATAGTTGCGTGCCCCAACTTTTCTGGGTTAAAACCTGTAAAACTGTCAAAAGGCAAAAGAAGCCAGAGAACCGAGTACGGGAGCACTTTCTGGTAAATTCCTGTAAATCCTTGCAACTTCTTGCGAGTTAGGGAACGCAACTATTTTGTTCGCATTTCCACACACACTCTTACAGATTTGCACAGTCCGCGCCGCAAAATCAAACTACTTGTAAATTTTTGTTTTTGTACTCCTGCTATCACCTTATATTAATTAATTCGCCTTGTTAAAAACCTTAGTTCTCACAAATTAAATAAAATGTGAATGATTGCATTATACATATTTTAACAAAAAGTTGTAAATAAGCAGAAAGTAATTTGCTCTCCAGTGGCCCATTAATATGAAGTTAGCTTTAGGCGCACGCTGCATACGATTGCCTCGTTGAGGTGCATTTCTCCGCTGCAGCATCGAACCACATATTCTCGCTACATTCTCTCTCCTCCACAGTCCGATTGTTCTCACAAACAAGATAATGTTGGCAACCGGTTTTCGAACTCAATTCGTAGCCGTCATCTCGACCATCGCAACGATCCTCATCACACTGAACGCTGGTGCGGGACTTGCAAGCCTCCTCCTTTGAATCGAAGAATTTAGTGACAGGACACTGTCCCCAGACAGGTGTGGAGTCTGGTTTACCAACACCGAGATCTTGGCAATAGAAATATCCACGACATGTCGCATCATCACTCACGAAATGATCTCTGATGGCAAGTTTCGTTGTGCCGCATACGTCCTTGGGGTAGGGATGTTTAGAGCAATTAACCTGACCCTTTGGCAAGCAAGTTGCCGTCGTCACGTCAAAGTATTTGCCAGTATCGCACTGTTTTTCGGTCAGGACAACGCTGGTTCTTTGTTTGATACATTCATAATATTTGTCACAGTTGTTTTCATCTAGAAATGGCGTATCATTGGGCACCACGTCGCAGAAAGTGTATGTGGCTACACATGAAGAATTTTCGGGGTAGTCACACATGACGG